ACATATCATATTTTAATTAATACTAACCATACAATATTCAACTATGAACGACTTGTCGTCATCTGAAAAATCTCTGTAATCCAGATTTGTCACAGGATTAATCAAATTTTTGGTAAGTCACCTTAATAAGATTATTTAATAATAGTTATAGAAAGAATTCCATCTTGTTATAACAGATCTAATCAAATATCTTCCCATATTTTCCTTAAAAATGGATGCACAGTTAGAAGATTGCCCATGTTTTTTCTACAAAAGCTTACATTTAGAAAATGTAATTTTTGAAATGGTTTTATAATGGACATCGTTGAGTTACTTTTCAGTGTCAATACATAAGATTTAAAATGTGTGCTGAACAGGAATGATGCTTAGGTAAGAATACAATACTATCATTAATATTTTGATCTTCAAATAGATCAAATAATGGCATAGAAACTATTTCATTAGTGTTGCTAAATGGCTCGTTTTGAGCCGATTTTTAAAAACGGCTAACTCAATATTTCGTCCAGAAAAATATTACGCAAGCCTCAATATTTTGCTCATAGAAGGAACAAAGGTCTAGGTATATATTATCGAAATCTTGAGACTTAGGCAATATTTTTCTGTCTAAAATATCGAGTTAGCCGTTTTAAAAAATCGGCTCAAAATGAGCCGTTTAACTACACTATATTTCATCATTCAATTCCTCTCCTTGTTCATATACTCTAATAAAGTTTTAATAAATATATTATATAATTATTTTTACTTGAGGGCTTTTAAATAATTTTTAGCATTATAATAAAATTACAATACGATTATAATAAATTCTTAGTCATAATATTTAGGGTCATTCCATGTCAAATCAATCATTTTTCGGCCGACCCCTTTCGATTTCGATGAAAAATCGTAGGCTGGTTATATATGTTCCCATTAGATTATAAACAAAATTTTAGCGGATTGGCAACTATATTAGCGAAGATATTCGGGGTTAAAGGTCTAAAAAACGTCTTTTTTTGCTTTTTACTGATGTTAAATAACTAGTTTTTAATTTTAAACTAAATATGATCAAATATTGAATATAATATCAATAGCTAAGTTAATAATTGATGATTATGGCGAAAACATCAAAATTAATTTTTGATAAAATATGGGTCATCTTATGGTCAGTTGAAAATTTGAAATTAATATTTCGAAATGTATATAATCTCCGATTTTTAATTTTTTTAAGAAATATTATCCGTTTACTATTTTTTTAATAATTTCTTCAACAATTAGCAAGGCTGGATATTTATTTTAAAAAATATTGCGATTTTTATACTTTTAAAAAATAGATGGCGCTATATATAATAGTTTTAATATGTTAAAATTCATTTTTTTTATTGATTAAAAATATTTTAATGTATATATATCATACTAAATCGATTACAATTTCCATTATATATATTTATTTGTAATTCAGATCATAAATTTTTAAAATCTTCACAAATTTAGCCTAATTAAGATAGTTTATAAATTAATTAAATCTTACTTCATTTAAAGGAATACAAAGCCTTGCTAGCTTGTGAGATTTCTTCAGGAGATAATATATATGTTTGACTGGTGGGAGTAGAAGGATTGACCAGTGAGAGAATATGAGATTTAGGCAACACAAAAATATCATCTTTCAAAGGAAATTTAAATGAGGCTGAAGGTCCACAAGGCTGTAAAAATCGGATTTTTACTTCTTCATTTATATCATTTTTATAGATTATATATCCTACCCACCATTTATCATCATATACACATGTTATATACCCATTAATATTTTAAAAATTAATTTTCTCATTTAAAAACGAAACTTGTTTTATATTATATTTTTTGGAATTAGAATATATTTTGGTTTTTAGTCTTTCAATGGGAATAACCCCGTGATTTTTTTGGGTCCCATGTATAAGCAGTGCATTAAATCTTTTACGAAGGGCTAATTCCTCTTCAATATATTCTTGATTGGATACATATTCAAATTAAATTCCATTAATATTTTCTTTAGCATAATTATATAATTCTAATGAGGTTAGGATTTGATTTTTATTTGGCCTTTGAAGACTAGCTCTGGCAACTAATCTTTTGACAGTTCCTCCGATACCGTCACTTGCATTTTTGCCGTGAGCAGTGGCAAAGAAATGCCATTCGGCAGGAATATTAAAATCGTATTTATGAAGGCATATGTTCAGAAAAATTTTGCGATTCTTGTATTGAGACGCGGCTTCATCTGAAAAATATATTATTTTTTCTGGTTTAGAATTAAATTTGGATAAAATAACAAAATTTATATTTTTTAATTCTTCTCCAGATTTATATGCTACAAATGGATGTATAGTGGCCTGCACGTTGTTCCAATGAAATCCCTGAACTTCATCTTGTAAAATGAAGGAATAATTCTCAGAATAATCTAGAATTGTTAAAAATTCCCTATCTTTTAAATTTTTCTTCACATTCTGACGAATGGCGCAGACACAAACAGTGTGTGTGCCACTAGCTCCAACTAAAATACAGTTTTTTGGTCTAAGTTCGGCAAATTTAGAGAATCCAATTGATATATTTGGGTATTCTTCCTTAAACATCTTGAATATTTATTTAAGCTTATTTAATATAAGTCTTTGGACTGATTCTTTCTCGCCTTTAACAGATACACAATCTTTTATTCCAGGCATGAGTCGGCTTATTTCATCAGAACTATAATTTTATTTATTTTTATTGCTTAAAAATTTTTTCAAAATCTTCGAAATTTTCTTTATCTCTGGTTATTTTAATAATTTAAGATAATGACAATTTCATAACATTCTTGATCTTGATGGGTATGACTTAGTCTGGGGGGGGGGGTGGAGGGTTGGGGGTAGGCCTGGTAATTAATGTGATTTTCGATTTTTCCCTTAATAATTTTCTTGCACTCCTTTAATCCTGCTTTTTTGTTAGTGTGCTAGTCGAATTTTTTAATTATTTTTAATTTACATTGAAATATTAAAAAAATTATTAAAATTTTTTATCCTGCGAATATCTCAGGGGAATAGGTTTACAAAGTTATATAATAGAATTTTATGATATATTATACATTAAAATATATTTAATCAATAAGAAAAATGAATTTTAACATATCATAACTATTATATATATCGCCATCTATTTTTTTAAAGTATAAAAATCGCAATATTTTTTTAAATAAATATCCAGCCATGCTAATTGTTGAAGAAATTATTAAAAAAATAGTAAACGGATAATATTTCTTAAAAAAATTAAAAATCGGAGATCATATACATTTCTAAATATTAATTTCAAGTTTTCAACTGACCATAAGATGACCCATATTTTATCAAAAATTAATTTTGATGTTTTAGCCATAATTATCAATTATTAACTTAGCTATTGATATTAGATTCAATATTTGATCATATTTAGTTTCAAATTAAAAATTAATTATTTGATATCAGTAAAAAGCAAAAAAAGACGTTTTTTGGACCTTTAACCCCGATTATCTCTGCTAATATAGTTGCTAATGCGCTAAAATTTTGTACAACTTTTTATCGAAATTGAAAGGGGTCGGCCGAAAATCTTGATTTTTTTGCTCATTTGACATGGAATAACCCTTTATATGTTTTTTATAAAGGTATTGCATTTGCAAAAAAAGTTATTTATATCTTGATAATATACTCATTTGTATTAGTTATAAATAAAAATTATATATATTTTTTTAAATACAATTAAGAGTAACAAGAATACTTAAATTTTATCGTAATCTTATTTTTTTAAGAAATATTTATGTATAATAAATTTTTAATATAATAATCTGTATAAAATTTATACATTTCAAATTTATTTTATTGTGTACTGTCATTAAAATAAATACATGGTTAAATAATAAGATGCTATATATATATAGTATTTTAATAATAAATTCTATAAGGAAATTTAAAAAAATTTTAATCATTTCATAATTAAGTTTTTATATGTTTAAAATAATTATATATTAATTCATTCTTTACCTTAATGCTTTTTAAGTTTGAGCTACTTGACATTGAAATATTTGTGTAGGTACATAATTTACATTTACAAAGTGTAGACTTGGTACCATTAATTTTCTTAATTGGTTTAAAATATAATTCAAATTGGGGCCAGGGAAGGGTTAAATCTTCTTCATCTGAAGAAGTAAGTAATATGGACATAATATTCTTTTAAAATAAATTAAAAATTAATTAATATCCTTTTACTTTGAATTTTGATTGAATATTAATTTTGACTGATAATTTAACATTTTAAAAAAAATGTTGGAAGTGGTTGATATGAATTAAAACTCGGCTTAAATTATTAATAATAAGAATTAAAAAATAAATAAAAGTAATTTTATAATACAATAAAATATGTTTTAGAGTAAAGTAACATTTTGCATTATCGTTACTCAAAGAAAGAAACGTGTTATTTTTACACGTTACCTTTAGGTGAAGGTAATGTATGGCGTTACTTTTTTGAAGTTACTTCACAGCACTAGATTTAAATGAAAATTAATGATTTTTTTTTTAAAAAAAACATAAATTTTCCCAACCCTAATAAATAATTCTAAGTTTTCTAAACTTTTACATTGATAATATAAATGAATATATATATGATAAGGTTAATTAAAATTTTAGCATTATAGATATTAAATTAAGTATGTATAATGAACAAAATCAGATTCTTAATATAGAATGGGTAATTAGCCAATAAAAATTTAATATCTGCAATATTGTAATGGCCTTCAAAAAGTTGTATCCTATCTGTATAACATTGATTACAATGTAATATTGATTAAATTGCCTTTATCTTGAAGGATTAAGGAAATTTAAGAGAACTATAAAGTAATTTTAATTTAAAATTGTTAAGATATATCCAGAAATTTATAAATATTTAAATGAATATAAATTATTAACAAATAGAGAAAATCTGTGACTTAAAGTTCCCAAGGAGGGGAGTTTATAAGTGAATCTCAATTTACCTTAATGAAAATGACTTACACGAGTTATATCAATCCTACCCATCATTGAAGCAATATATAAGGGGAGAACTAAATTCTTGCCATTAACTTTATATTCTAATAACAATTTAACCATAGATATATGATTATTAGATGTTGCAATCATTAGACATGTTTGTCCATTTATATCAGGTATATTTGGATCTGCACCCATATGCAAAAGATCTCTGCAAATCTCATAATAGTTATCTAAAAATTATAAATTGATCGAAATTATTATTTATAATTACATCGAACACCCAATAATAAGGGCGTACAGAAATTCTCTTGATCTTGAAAATTAATATAAAGCATGTAATCTCGCTTATTTAAGATTTCGTTCACAAGATAGTCATCATTTTCTGACACAGCACTAAGTAGTTTATACATTGCCGCCAAAAATTAGATTAGAGATAAAATAAACTATTAATCATATGCCATGACAGGTCACGTGTATATTCGACAATTAAGAGTAACCTGATAAGATGTTATAAAGTTATAATTTTGATTATAATAAGATTAGACATACACCCCCTAGTTAGCTTCTGGAAAATAAACAAATCTCACTTGGATTCAAGTACAGATATTTAAAATAGTATGACAAATATTTTAAGTATCTGTATTGATCAATGACATCTTATTATATGTCATTTGTGTAATAGAAACAATTAGCCTCAAAGGCAATTAAATATATGATAAATTTTAAATATATATATTATTAATTGTGTACGAAGATTAATTGTTTGTTTTGTAAAATATATATATAATGCGGTACAAAAGATAAAAAGATGTTAAAATTATAATAAAATTTGGTTTCATCACAATGGCGCAGTCGACTCAAATGGATAAATATAATATAAAGGAGTGCAGTATGGAAATTTATTTATAAAAAATGGAATTCATATTTAAAATCGCAAAAATAGAAGACAAAAAATCATTTTTATTAGCGAATATTGGATTAGAGGTTTATTCTAAATTATTTAATTTGTGTTTGCCAAAGACATTAGAGGAAATATCATATGATGACATAATTAAACTTTTAAAAAATTATTATATGAAGAAGACAAACTTCATGTTAGAAAGATATTATTTCTTTAAAATGGAACAAGAAAAAGATGAAATCATCGTAGAGTATATTAATAAATTAAAGATAAAGGCAAAGACGTGTGAATTTAAAGATATGTATAATACAGTATTGCGGGACAAATTAGTGTCAGGAATTAATAATGGAAAAATATTAATGAAATTAATTAACACGCAGGACTTGACATGGAAAAGTGCAATACAAATCGCGACCGCAATGGAGACTACAGAAATGATGTCGTATGAAAAATTATCTGCAGGGAAGGAGATAAATATTATCTCAAAAACAGTAACAAGGGAGCAGTATGACAAGTACAAACCAGTATCAAAAATTAATTGCTATTGTTGTGGATTAGGAGATCACATAAAACCTGTGCCCTAATTTGAATGCCATCTGCCATAATTGTGGGATAAAAGGACATTTACAAAAAGTATGCAGAAGGAATCGTGGGAAGAAAGAATATATTCGAACGATAGATGTTCCAGAAAATGAGCGAGAAAGTTTTGAGGATTGGGAATTTCCAGAGGAGTCTCGAGAAAAATTTGAGGTAAAATTATTAATAGATAAAATGTATATTAAATTTTTAATTGAAACAGGATCGGCAGTCTCCATTTTGAATATAGAAGACGTTTACCGTTTAAAAATACCAGTAACAAAAACGGATATTATTTTAAAATCTTATAATAATGTAATGATCAATATTAAAGGTAAATGTATATTACCCGTTAATTATATGAAATAAGTTATATATCATGAATTTATTATTGTAAACAATGGGATTAACTTGATAGGTAGAAACCTAATAAACAAATTAAAATTAATAAAAATAAATCAATGTAATATAGTTATTGAGGTATGGGAGGATAATATTGTACATAAATTTTCCTTATTATTTACTAAAAAATTAGGTTTACTAAGAGGTTTTAAGGCCAGTTTAGCGGTAAAATCCCACCCACAGTTTCAATGTATGAAAAGTAGACCGATACCATTTGCGTGGAAGGCAAAACTCGAAACGGAATTACAACGACTGGAATCCATGGGAGTTTTAGAAAGACTAAAATACTCGAATTTCGCTTCTCCGATTGTGCCCGTATTGAAGAAAGATGGATCTTTACGAATTTGCGGTGATTACAGACAAACGGTTAATGGCAAATATTTTGATAGATAAATATCCTTTACCCAGAATTAATGAATTATTAGCCACACTATGTAATGAGTGTAAATATACAGTATTAGATTTATCCGAAGCGTATTTTCAAATAGAGCTAGATGAGGAGGCAAAAAAGCTGTTAGTAATCAACACGCCTATTGGATTGTATTGTTTCACACGACTTCCGTTTGGGGTAACCTCAGCGCCAGCGATTTTTCAACAAGTAATGGATTCATTATTAAAGGGATTACCTGGAGTAGAGGTATATTTGGACGATGTAATAATTACGGGGGAATCAATTGAGAGTCATAAGAAAAATTTGATAAATGTATTAAAGACGTTAGAAATAAACGGTATGAAATTAAATCTAAAGAAATGTGATTTTTTTAAAGAAAAGATTGAATTCTTAGGTCATACCGTTAGCGAAGAGGGAATTACTACAACAAATAAGAATGTCAATGCAATTTTAGACACACCATTACCAAAAAACGTCAAAGAATTACAAGCTTTTATCGGTATAATAAATTATTATCAAAAATTTATAAACAATTTCTCGACTATTGCCGCTCCATTATATAGGCTTTTAAGGAAAGATGTGCCATGGAAATGGACAAATAATGAAACAATTGTGATTAATAAATTTAAAAAATTAATATCAGAAGCACCAATTTTAACACATTATAATCCGGAAAAACTTATAATTCTAGCTGCTGATGCGTCTTAACATGGAATAGGATCAGTTATATCTCATATCATTAACAACGAGGAAAAACCGATTGGATACGCGTCTCGAACATTAAATGCTGCCGAACGAAATTACAGTCAGATAGAGCGTGAGACTTTAGCAATTATATTTTGATTAATTAAATTTAAACAATATTTAATTGGCAGACATTTCATTATCATTACTGACCATAAACCCCTAATATCGTTAAATCCACATAAAAGAATAACAGATATGTCATCAAGATTAGTAAGATGGTCATTACTACTAGCAAATTATAATTATGAATTGCAACTTCGAGGGACGAAAAAAATAGTAATGCGGATAGGCTTTCCCAGTTTCCAATTGACAGTAAACCATCTGCTTGGGAAGAGTTAGATATTAATTTAATAGTATCGGATGCTCCACAATTTATTTCAGCGTTAGATATAAAAGCACACACAAGAAATGACCCGGTATTATCAAAGGTTTCACGTTACCTTACAACTGGATGGCCAAAGATAATAGAGGAAAATCTAAAACCGTTTTTCCAGCGCCGAAATGAACTCACGATGGAGGCAGGGTGTATATTATATGGATTAAGAACCATAATTCCAAAAAAATTACAAGTAAATATTTTGTCTTTTTTACATATGGGGCATCAGGGTTATACTAAAACAAAATTATTGGCACAAGAGAACGTTTGGTGACCGAATATTAACGAAGATATCGAATTACATGGTAAGAATTGTGAATTATGTCAAACAAATAATCCTGTCAATAAAACGATCATAGGGAAATGGCCCTCCGCAAATAAACCATGGGGAAGAATTCGTTTAGATTTTGCCGGACCAATTAACGGAGATATATATCTAGTAATAATAGATAGTTTTAGTAAATGGCCTGAAATACAAAAAATGACGACGAATAATTTTACTGAAGTAAGAAAATTGTTGTTAAGACTTTTTGCTATTTTCGGTTACCCCAATACGATTGTTACGGATAATGGCCCCCCATTTCAAAGTAGAGATTTTAGTTTATTTTGCAAACAATTATCAATTAAAAATGTATATAGTGCCCCATACCACCCTAGAACCAACGAAGAAGCGGAGCGATTAGTACAAACCTTTAAAAAAATTTTAAAAAACATAATGATTATAATAAAATACAAGATTTTTTGTTTAATTATCGAAATACGCCACAAATAACCACAAAATAATCACCAAGTTCAATTATGCTTAAATTTCAACCCATAGGACCTTTACAATTAATAAAACCAATTTATCCTCATCCATATTATACCTCAGTTACCAGGTTTTTTTAATATAAATGAAAAAATATATGCAAAAGATTTAAAAAAAGATAATTGGATACCAGGTATCCAGGTATCATCGTTAAAAGAACAGGACCAATGACGTTTTTAGTTGAAACTAAATTAGGGGTATGGAGAAGACATATTAATCAGTTAAAACATAGGTTCGACAACTCCGATTTAAAAAATAGAGAGGAGGGAAGAGAAGAAGAAACGATGCAAACTACACCACAAATGAATGAAAATGATCATACACAAAATTCGATAGCAAAAGACATTGATCCTATACACGAATTGGTGACAAAGGACATGGACCCAATACAAGACTCAATAAACAAAGACACCATCATAAATGATAAGATGAAAATCGACAGTAATGAGCAAACGGTGGTAGAGAACGAAAGTACAAGCAGCTATCCAAAACGGATAAGAAAACAATTTATACCGTTTCAAATCGAGAGCCCAAAAAAGGAGAGAATAGATGTAATAGAAACAATTAGCCTCAAAGGCAATTAAATATATGATGAATTTTAAATATATATATTATTAATGTGTACGACGATTAATTGTTTGTTTTGTAAAATATATATATACTGCGGTACAAAAGATAAAAAGATGTTAAAATTATAATAAAATTTGGTTTCATCACAATTGGTATTGATAAAATCGACAATATATTCAATAAATAAATAATAGGTTTTAATCTTGATATATTAAATCTATCAATCATATCGATCCACCCTTATTATTCTGATAAAAAGGTTTTTAAAAACGGGTAGACAACCTCCCCCTAGTTAGCTTCTGGAAAATAAACAGATCTCACTTGGATTCAAGTACAGATATACTTAGTATGATGCCCGCTATAGCGGATAGACCTAGTATCTATATAAGAGAGTGGGGTAGGAATATGTATTTAATTTTTTTTAATGGGGGATGGGGGAGAGGGGCGTCGCTAGCCTTTACAATTTCGCTGATATAAAAAATTTGGCGTCTAAAGAATTACAATTGATAAAAAAGGTTGATTAATTATATGCCTCAATTGATAATGGTTTTTAAAAACCACATAAGGTTATATAATTCTTAAAACTTACATTAACAAAAGGTCATGGAACTAATGTAACTTTCTGTTACCATTTTAGAC